ACAAACTTATGAGGGAGAAACCTGGTCATAGGTCAGCGCCGAGCCTTTCTTTAGAAACAGCTAGTGGCATGGACCAAATATCATGGTCATGCATGTGACATAGAAGCACGCATGAATACCTGAGTATGATTGGATCGACATGAATCGAGTGTATCTGAGTTTGTAAGATATACTATTTCTTAGGGGAGTTTGGGATGAACTTCCAAGTCAGGCGAGAGGAGGAAGACAGATAAGGCCAAAGCAAGAGCAGAAGGCCAAGGCACGGATCCTCCAGTCTATTCTAGCTGCTGAAGATGTCGAAGAAACAGAGAGGAAGGCAAAGAAGGCGATAGAGCATGAAGAGGCCAAGAAAGAAGCTACCCCGGAAGAAGAAGAAGAAGGCATAGATGCCGACGAAGTGATCCAGGCAATAAAAGATACTTGTAATGAATGTTTTGAACAGGCAGTTAATCCTGTATTTTGTTTTTCTGATGCTTGTTTTGAGAATACTATAGATGGTTTTCCTCTTTTATTTCGATCAATGGAAGTGAACTTTGACTATTTGTTTTCTTGTTTTCCTGATTGTCACGTCCATGGCATTGATTATACCACTCGCATATTTGACATAATACCCACTCGCAATATTTGACATACAATGCATATGCATAAATTTTTGGCATATTAATTTCAATTCACACCGAAGATCCATAAACAATAATTTTGACAAATTCGGGATTCAGACTTTAAAACTTGAGCTCAGACAGGATCTCTCAAGAATGTATCCAAAGAAACTCAGAGGTATCGCCTGGATGCTCACGCGACATCGCCATGGCTCGATAGATCGATAGCCAAGAGCACTTTCATTCCTACTGATCCAAGATATAAAGCCAGTAAAGCAGAAAAGGAGAAGGGTCAGACCAGAAATGGCAGGGACAAGTCATCAAAGATGAAGTCCACAGAATGCAGCTGGATGCAGCGGAATTCATTAGAAGTAGTACACTTACCCGGAGTGGTTGGCCAAATATCTAGTCCCAAGTGTTTGAAGAAAATGGCAGGATTAAAGGGTCTGTGTCGACTACAGGATCTTGAACAAACAGCCCATCGCCAAGGATGACTTCCACTTCCACACCATTAGATGTTTTGATAGACAGTGTTGCAGGAATGGGATGTTATTCTAATCATGGACGACTTCTTCAGGTTATAATCAGATATTAATGGCTTACGTGGATAAGCGATAAACTTCTTTCACCACCAGGACTTCGGCGACATTTTGCTACAGAGTGATGCCGTTGACTGAAGAATGCCGGGCAACATATCAAAGAGGGGATGAGCTACTACTTTATTTCATTGATATCGATCCATAAAGGATGAAGTGGTCATGTAATTTTGAATATGTATCATGACAAGAAACACAGGGTAGCAGGAAGAATCAGAGAGAGCGGGACGGTCGGCGAGCAAGAATCTATTGAGAAGTTGTTTTCGCACGGGTAAAACAGTACTAGTTCGAGGCTTTAAATCCCAAGTAGGGTATATTTGAGAGTACAAAGGAAAAATGGTAATATTTAGTACAGTATTTTAGGATACAGCGTAATCGTAGTTGAAATTACGTAAAGGTATAGTCTCAGAAAACAATAAATTATAGAATCAAATACTGCGCATTTGTATATTTGTGATGAGAAAAAAAAAAGCAATTGTGAGTGCTTAATAATATATATTTTTTTAATATTAACTAGACAAGTATTTTTAGTTTATTGAACTAAAATTAAATATTAATCATACTGGATTGATTTTACTTAGAATGGAAAATCTTCCTTATCGTTATTTAATTTATCCATGATAATCAAACTCTTGATATTCCATAAATATTCTATGGTGTATTAACTTAACAATATTGTCATTACTGCTCACGACGGAAACCGGTATATAGTATTTCTTGTTTGTTTACTAGGAAAAGTAGCTCAACGCATCATTCTACTTAATTTGTCTATTCTCAATCAACTTCATATCTCTGTCTGAATCTCCCTTTCGGAATCCAGTTTTCATTTTCTCCCTTAACCTATTGTAGTCCAAATGTAAGAAGGAAAATCCATGTCAGCAATAAACAAAATAAACCAGACATCTTCTCAGCAAGTAAATTATAGTAAGTTGAGCAACCAGTTTGCCGTCCATATAATAAAATTTTCTTGCAGATAGCTAACAACACAAAGGAGTTGGTCGGCTCTGCATTAACTTGGATTTTATTTATTTATTTATTATTAAGTTCACTGGCTAAGAACCTGGTCAAAAAGTATACCGACATTGATTAATTTGATATTGCCGATGATCATGAATATGATAAAAGTAATACTCCTTGGCTACTAGTTTATTTATATGGTTTGAAAAATTACACATATTAAGGATTTAGTTAATAAAAATTATTTTATTTTTTTTATTCTTAACTCATTAATATATTAACAAAAGTTTTTTGTTCAATGAACAATCATAAAAGTTATTATGAGAAAAATAATTATTTAAATATATAAATTTAGAAACCTTGCAAATATTTTAAGACATTCCAAAAAGAAATAACAAGCGAACAAAATGGGCTGAAGAGAGTATAATTTTTTTCGCTAAATAAATAAATCTACCCATGTACTTATAATGACAAAATTTGTAGCCCCCTCAAAAAAAAAAAAAAAAAAAAAAAAAGATTGCCGAACAAAATGGGCTGAAGAGAGTATAATTTTTTTCGACTAAATAAATTAAAACATTCATACTATCTGTACTTATAAATGACAAAATTGTAGCCCCTCAAAAAAAAAAAAAAAAAAACAAAAAACAATTGTAAGCTGTTCCAACTTTTCATGGTTACAGTTGATTTCCACGTGTCACGCACTGAGTGTGTCAAGTTTTATTGATAAAAGCCGAATTTATAAATTTGATATAAAAACAATCTCGAGTAGAGAATAGCTGTTGCCTAGCTCGAGGAGAAATTACCCAACCTGATTGAAGGAGAAAACAATTGCTGATTTGGCGAATTAATGTTAATGAAGTCTCTATATATTTAATGAATGATATGAAGTGCGCTCAGATTACTCCACTATTATGCTACCATCCAATATTTCTAAAGCGATCTAATAACCCTATATTAGTACTAACCCAAATATGTGAATACCACGAAAATATACTGTGCGACTACTAATTGATAGAAAGAGGAGCCGTGGCGCTACTCTATAGTTACCAAGAATCGGTACTCAGACCGTTTATGATACATATGATGTAGAGTTCCTATCTACAACAAAAAATGTTGTGCTTGAGTGATGGAATTGCTGCGAGTGATTGATTGTGTGTATATGAACGAAAAAGAGACTCGAGATTTTCAAGGCTATTATATTTGGCCAATTTTTTATTTTTCGCTACATGATGGCGGTTATTTCCTATCAGCAGGGAAAAACCCCTAAAAAAAGTGTGTATTAGTCCTTAGTCCGTTTCTTAACTTACTATATTAAGTATAGTACAGTTCTATTCATTTTAATTCGGATTTAATCACATATCAATTTCAATATTTTGGAATTAAATAATTAAGGAAAGGAAAAAAATATTCTTTTTTCGGTGTGTACAGACGACGAATTCTTAGTGGAATTAGTTGAATTTTGCCGATACCATGCGGATAAGCGGTATAATCTGATAGTCAAAGGTAGCAGGCTACTTCGGCTTGGCCACCTTAATGATAAAAAATTTTACATACTAATTCACATTAGCTAGGCTATTTTATCGACCTTTAACCTATTGCATGACATTTGTGCCACGATTTGTAACAATTTGATTACACAGTAGGGTATAGTTCTGTAATGAGAGATTGATATTCTATGATAATGAGATCGCTAAGACCGCATAAGCTACGATTAGAAAACGAGAAAGGTCTGAGTTTTAGTTTGGCATATAGTAATTAGTATAGAGCCGAACACTTAAACTCACCAAGAGTAATTGGAGACGATTAGGCTACATAACAGATCACGATGTGCAAGAGGGACTATTGTTCCCCGGTCCTGCTGACTATGACAACATGGCCATAAGATATGTAAAGCGCACTGAAAAAAAAAAAAAAAAAAAAAAAACAATTTGTAGCATGTTCAACTTTTATTTTGATTCATTAAACATTTCAATTTATAAAATTAAATTGATTAAACATTTGGTAGATTGTTGAATATGTATAAATTATTATTTTTAAAGTCGTAAAATCATATATCAAATCAATATTTTACATATAAAAATAAAAATGAAAAATAGCTGCTACTATTGTAGAGAGGTGTGCATAGTTACCAAGATCTTTAACCTTAATAACATGATAAGTCTATCACAAAATTTGGAGTGCATAAGATTTCTTTGTAAGGAGTAAATTTATATATTTGGCCAATTTTTTTTTTCTAATTTAGCGGTAAAAAAAGTGTTATTAGTCCTTAGTCCGTTTTTAACTTACTATATTAAGTTATTAAGTTTATTCATTTAATTGATTAATCACATATCAATCATATTGGAATTAAATAATTAAGGAAAGAGAAAATATTTTTTTGGTAGTATAATATTGACAAATGGATAGAGGTAATCTGAGTCAAAGGTAGCAGGCTTACTTGGGCTTGGCCAATTAATGATAAAAAATTAATACTAATCAATTAGCTAGCTATTTTATCGACTTTATATGCTGTCTGTAGATTTGATATTTATTCATTATGGAATTATTAACAAGTAGTACAAAAAAAGTTAATTTTAATTAATTAGTTGCAAGCTTAAACTCAATGAGACTAGGCTAATAAGTTAGTGTGTGTGTACATATATATATATATATATAATTAAGAAAAGGTCAACAAAAAATCAATAAATATGACAGATAATGAAACATTAGCCAACAATTAGGACAAGCATATAGTTGAACTAACTCTTATAGAACTCTCCACCAAATATCCTCATTCATTGATCTCTCTATGCTTTTGAAATAAATTTCCACATCCTTCTCCAATCTAAAGTGATGATGATAATTTCCATTTTCTTCTTATTATTTTTTCCCTTTGCAAGCTCCGTGTTCTTCAACTTCACAAGTTTCAATCCAAACATGGCAGATATATCCTTCCAGGGCGATTCTTTTCCTTCTAATAATGTTCTTCAACTCACAAAGAATGCAATAGATGACAACCTCATGAGCAGCGTCGGGCGCGCTTCTTACAAGTATCCCGTAAGAATTTGGGATGCTAAAACAAGAAAGCTTACAGATTTCACTACCCATTTCTCTTTTATCATGAAAGCTGTTGATCCTAATCGGGTTGGTGATGGTATCTCTTTTTTCATGGCACCGTTTAATTCTGAGATTCCGAATAATTCCAGCGGTGGATTTCTTGCCTTATTTAGTCCTGACTCTGCTTTTGGCGCTTTAAAAAAGAATCAAATTGTTGCAGTTGAGTTTGATAGTTTTGAAAATACATGGGATCCAAGTGATGATCATGTTGGTATAATTGTTAATTCAATTGTATCTGTTACTAATGTTACTTGGAAAAGTAGCATTAAAAATGGATCCAAGGCTAATGCATGGGTAAGTTATAATTCCACTACTAGAAATTTGAGTGTTTTTCTATCTTATGCAGAAAATCCCAAGTTCAGTGGTAATTCTAGTCTTTCTTATATTGTTGATTTGAGGGATTTTTTGCCTGAATGGGTTAGAATAGGTTTCTCTGCTTCTACAGGCAGATGGGTTGAAACACATAATATTCTCTCTTGGGATTTTGATTCCAACCTGGAAATTAATAAAAAACCCAAAGAAAAAAAAGGATTGATTGTTGGTTTGGCTGGGGGTTTGGGACTATTAGGCTGTGGGTTATGTTTGTTAGGTTTTTTCTGTTGGAAAAAATGGTATCGAAATAGAAATGAAGATGAAGGTGAAGATGTTATGGATGATGAATTTGAAAAAGGAACTGGGCCAAAAAGGTTCACATACCGCGAACTCAGTCGTGCAACCAATAGTTTTTCCGAGGGAGGAAAGCTAGGAGAAGGAGGATTCGGAGGTGTATACAGAGGATTATTGACTGAATCTAATACACCCGTCGCGGTTAAAAAGGTCTCGAAAGGGTCAAGGCAGGGTAAAAAAGAATACATATCAGAAGTAAAGATAATTAGTCGATTGAGACATAGAAATTTAGTTCAACTAATTGGTTGGTGCCATGAAAAAAGGGAGTTCCTTCTTGTATATGAGTTCATGCCTAACGGAAGCCTCGATTCACATCTTTTCGGAAGATCAACAACAATTTTAACTTGGAGTATAAGATATAAAATTGCTTTAGGATTAGCTTCAGCTCTACTATATCTTCATGAAGAATGGGAACAATGTGTAGTGCATAGAGATATAAAATCAAGCAATTTAATGTTGGATTCAAATTTTAATGCTAAACTTGGTGATTTTGGTCTGGCAAGACTCGTAGACCATGAGTTAGGTTCACAAACAACAGTTTTGGCTGGCACAATGGGATATTTAGCTCCAGAATGCGTCACAACAGGCAAAGCAAGTAAAGAATCAGATGTGTACAGCTTCGGAGTCGTGGCTCTCGAAATCACCTGTGGAAGAAGACCAGTAGATGCAAAGCAAGAAGCTAATAAGGTAAGGTTAGTTGAATGGGTATGGGACTTATATGGAAAAGGGCAAATTATTGAAGCTATGGATAAAAGATTAAGAGAAGAATTTGATGAAAGGCAATTAGAATGTTTAATGATCGTTGGATTATGGTGTTGCCATCCTGATTTTAATCTCAGGCCATCAATTAGGCAAGTGATTAATATTCTTAATTTTGAAGCTCCATTGCCAAATCTTCCGTCGAAGTTGCCTGTGCCAATGTACTATGCACCTCCCATGAATATCTGTAGGTTTTCTTATACAACTTAAAAGTTTTTAAAATATTAATGATATTATTAATTTTTTTAAAACTGAAGATATTATTAATGATATTAATTAAGTTGTCTATTAATTATAATAAACTAATTGTTTAAATTATGAAAATTATTTGTAACTCAATAAATTAACATTTTGCCACATAAACATTTTAACACTCTAAAATTATGCCACATAAGTTTTTAGGCTTCTATTTTTATGTACTATCCAAACTCACTCATGAAACAGCTTAGGCTTGAGCCTGATCCATTTTGTTGATTAAGTCCAATAATCAAAGTGAAAAAAAAAAGGTAATATTATAGCTTGGTTCCATCTTGTTTAATAAATATCCTGATTATCTTTTAAAGTTTAGTTATGTTAAACCATTTAGTCCTCCTTCTAAAGGGTGTTATTTTGGTCGTAAAATAAAAAACCAAATAATAGTACCACAATATTGAATGTGAAAAAATAAATAGTTAAATATTATGATATTTATCCTCTAAAAAGATATTTATTTAGACAATATGACTAAATAGTTTAATGGGATTAAATCTTAGATATTAATTTGTAAATCTTATCTATATTTAGGGAACTATGTCATTAATAATGGAAATATCACATTTTCCACTTGATTTATATTTCCCCGTTATCACACTAAAATTTGCCTATTTTAACCTGTAAATTAAAAGCCCAATTCAAAATCCAATACAATAGAATCATTCTTGTTATTTGGGCACACATGGAACTTTTTTCCTCTTATGGAGTTCATACAAGGGAAACTAAGTACTTATTTGATATGAAATTGTGAAAGTTGATCATCATGTGAATAGAGATGTAGATAAACATGCTGGATTGAATAATCTCTCATTTTGTTTTATTAAAAAATGTAAATAAACAAAAATTCAAAATTAAATGGAGGGGAATTTCACATGCATTAATATTTTTATTTTTTATTAGAGACCTAATGAGCCAAAATATCATTAGAGATTAACATTAGAGGGTAGGCTACCCCTGTATACGATATACTTCAAAATTGAGACTTCTTACTCTCCATATCTTATATAAAACCTGAAAAGACCAATTAAGCCGTACCTAATCGACTTATTTACATTTATATTGGAATTAATCATGCTTAAAAGTATGTAAGCATGACTTTAAAAAAATTTGTAGCTAACAAATTAGGTACTTGTTGGCCCTTCCAAACGTATGTAATCATACATTACACCATGAAAAATTGCGGCAACTCTTGTCTGAGTCAAATAAATTGTATTTTTTCCATTAACAAGTACATCATTAGGCACATCAATGGTATAAAACCAGTAGATACCATGAATTCCATGTCTTGCAATTGCATTGTCCTTGCCTATTAGCCCTGTTGTGAAAAGAGGTCGCTTGGCATTTGGATCGTTGAACCTCACCTTAATTATGAATAGAGTTTGAGTTAAGTTCCCATTTAGCAAAAGTTTACAAGTAATAATAAGAGAGGATTTATAGTACCTGTATTTCAGCTTCAGTAGCAGATGCTAAGGCTAATTGCAATGTATAATTTCCAGTTTGAATCACAGTTTCGAGCTCGAAAGTTATTTGCCATGTGGTTGGCTTGTACACATCTTTCCCAGTATTTCTGAAATGCAACAACGAGTTTTCGTTCAAGTTATCTTAAGGATTGTATTGTCTTTAGTATAAAAATTTTCAATCAATGATGAGAGAAAATACCTTGGTACATGAATAAAAAACCAATCTCGACTGCAGTTACTAGTGCCAACATTGTATACAAGATCTTCTGTAGGATATAAGTTAGTGTATCGTTCCCATAATCCGTATTGCCTAAACCTACATATTAAAAAGAAGTTATATGTTAAGGAATAAAATATTGTTTACGTGCCAAGATTTGGAATTGATAATTGTTGATGAGAGCTAACTTTTCAGTTGGTTGGTTGATGAATAATTTGTTTGTAAGTGTTGACTCTGGATCCGGCACAAAGAACTCAGCAGCGGATCGGTCAGGATACCCTATTTCCCATATGGTTGGCCCATTTCTAGGAGATTCATAGTTAAGGACACCCAATTTAATATTGCTTCCTACATTTACAAATTAATTACTAATTAATTTTTAAAATTAAATTGAAGAACTAAAGAAAAAAAAAAAAAGAAGGAAAGCACAGGGTACCTGGTGTAATGGTGATGTTCTCACCATACTTGTAGTTTCCAACAAATCCAGGAACCCATGCATACAAATTATAAGTTCCAACTCGAATATTTTCAATTGTGAAACACCCCTCATTATCAGCTTGAGTCCAGAATTGATAACCCTAAAAGAAAATAAGAAAAGCGAAAATATATGAAATAGTTAATTAGTAATCAGAAGTAAGATTTTCCAATTTTTGCTTCATAGATAATTAGAAGATATAAAGGTTATGGAGGGTTAACCTTGGTTTCAAATTGCCATGAATCTACATCTCCTGGAGCTGCCAAGCCAACATAAGCACCATTTGCCAATTTGGAATTCCCTCTAATTAATATTAAAAAAGTAGAAAATGTATTATTAATTGCAATATTCAAAAATTTTTAGTATTTAATCAAAAAATAATAATAAATAAAAATCTTATGACATACTCATTTATTATTGTTATTTGGCCTGAGGCAGTTCCTCGTTTATCAGAATAAGAGAAATCTTTTGATTGAGTAAAATTGTATGGCCAACTTTCAACTTCCGTTGACATCTAGTTATTGACATGAAATGTGTATATTTGAGAAAAAAACATATAATGAGAGTTAATGAAATTAAAAAAATATATATTAAATATCGTTACATTCTGTTGGTAATAAATATTTTTATTTAGGTCAAAAAAAAAAAAAAAAAAAAATCTTCTTGGATTGAGATAAAAATTGTGATGGCCAACTTTCAAACTTCCCACTGACATCTTGAATTTATTAGGCAGAATTGGCTGCATATTTAGGAAAAAAAATTAAAAATAAAAAGTTATTAGAGATGTTTAAAAAAAAAAAAAAAAAAAAATTTGAGATAATGAAGTTAAAAATAAAAAATTATTAAATATTCATTCGGTTCGTAATAAATATTTTCATTCAGTTCAAAAAAAATGTCATGGGTTAATAATCTACCTGTCTTTTAGCATCATTCCAAAGTGCTTGGTCATCAGCAGTTGAGTTGGAATTAAGATAAATAAAAACAGGTCCAAAAACCATATTCCATGGCTCTTCATATTTTGTATTTTCCCCCAAATAATGAGAACTAGTAAACATCTGCATGTGCGTAAAAATCATATTTAAAATATTAGTTATAAACCTGATTTTAGGTTTCGTTATTTTCAATAATGTCAAAATTATAGTTCACGAATTAACGGTGAAATTTGTAAAATAATGTTATTCTAATTTGTGCTTTTACTTCAAAATAATTCTTTTTTCAATCAATAAGCTTATGGTAATAAACTTACAGATAAAAGAAATGGACCAGTATGAGCCGTTAGTTCTTGTCTAAAAGGTCCACCTGTACAGAACTCATCACTGGGTCGGATCACCCAAAATCCCATTGCCGGATCTTTTGATATCCAGCCATACACTTTGCTATCTTTGCGATCCATGGAATATTCATACTTGTCATCCACCTGAATATATATTCCATTATATCATAACATTAAAGAAATTCCTACTCATGATATATGAATTCATACATGTTTAAGAAAAAGGTAAAAGTTAAAGATCAAGGTTAAACTATATGTCTATTTACAACATATAGTTTGGTTATGTAGTTATAAATAGCAAAATTCAAAATTAAGCATGAACATTGTTTCAGAATCGCTGATTTCGATTTCAGAATCGTAGATTTTATTTCCATACTAATTTAAAATCAAATTAGTTAATAATTTTCCACTTTCCAATTCGATAAGAATTTTCCAGTTTTATAAAGCTATTTTTTGAATTATAACTAGAAATAAATGATAATAACAATAATAATAAATAGTATTGTTAAATTTCTAAACCAATTTACCAAAGTCTTCAAATTTATCTTAAAAAGTATAATAAAATAAAAAAGCAAATTGGGATTTTTTAAAAAAAAATATTCTTTTCACGGTTGCAAATCCAAACTGCCGATTTAAAATCAAATTCGCCGATTCTCGTTTAAAAAAATGAAAAATCGAAATCGAACTGTAAATACACAGTTTCTATTACGGTTTGAAATTAAAAACCGTTTACCACAATTTGGTACTGATTTCGGCTAATTCAAATTCATTTTAAGATCGAACCATGATCGTGCTGTCCAAAACCTATACCTCTCCTTGCAATTTAGGATCGGCTGTTTTGGTCAAGAGAACAGCTTCAGGATACGCTAGAGGTTGACTGCTTTCACGATCTTGAAATGTAGGCATGATCCTTTAACCTAATCATTGAAAATTATAGACCTTATCTATGTATCATAAATTGCTTCAATAGTAAACATAAATTAGAACAAAAACTTTCGTTACATTTCATTTTGTAGTTTGAAAACAATCCTAATTTGATCCATGCTGACGGTAGGCCACCCTTCTAAACGTTCCATTATAGTATATGTGTAAAATCCTGAGCTCCCACGCCGCAATATATACCTACAAAAAATCCGGAAGCTTCCCCACGCCGAATATATACCTACAAAAATCAATTAGACTAGGGACTGAACTCGATCTTTCTGTTAAACTAGTCCTCTAGGATTTATTGATTTTGGTTTCCAATCAGAAACCATGAGACCCAATTTTAGGTCTCCTATATTTTTTTTTTTCACAATTTCTTACTTTCGGTCAACAGTTCCCTCCCCCCCCCCTTTTCTCCCTTCCCCTTCCCCCCATGTTAAAACAACGGAAATAGAATCTGGAATGGAACTCAGGCTCTAATTTTGGTTTGATTTCAAAATTAAAACTTATCGACGATTTTTATCCAATTATCCCCATTTATATGTTCAATTAGTTCTTATTCTAGCTAAAACCCGATGCTAAGCCCTGCTACCAATATTTATCTTTTTTCATGGAAAAAATATATCACGAGAAAAATTCATACCTTTTGTCGACGTTTAGAGGGGACTGGCCCTTAGCATCTTTAGTGGAAGATATCCCATTTTTTGGTTGAACGATTTACTATCACTTGGTCTTCATTTGCGTTATACACCTAAATTTGCTGCTTCTAGCCTGCAAAATTATTCATTACGATTCAGTTTAGGAAGCAACATGGTATATAAGTCCTCATTATATAGTTGCTTGTTCAAGAGGCAATTACTGTCAAAAAATGTCCTCAGCCTGTTTGTACAAAAAACAATGTCACCAGTAGTAACTGCTGTCCAGCCCCTGGTTTGTACCAAACAATGTCCCAGTAACTGCGTTGCGAATAAAATTTTTGTTAGGACATAATTAGTGTAAGATAAAATAAAGGAATTGAATCTTGTAAAATGAAACTAATCTAATAAATAGAAAGTTCATTTTATTAATATTGTCAGATACTATTGAGATTTTTTTTCCTTGATATTAAAAAGACAGATTTCCATCCCACTAAGTTAGTACTAAATTTGGATCACGTCCGACTGTCAACTAATGGATAAAGCATTTTCAGCCAGTATTTTCTCTATCCATAAAATTCAAACTCTCGACCTTATTAACATATAGTAATAAAAGTTTAAAAATGCTTTAACCAAAATGAGAAGGATAAATGCTTATATATGCATACCCACGATCATCTACATCATTTTTAGGTTCCAGTATGTTCTCAACTCCATTATATTTTACTGCAAGGACAATTATATTTTATTCCAGTGACAAAACCACCTGGCTTGGATAGAGTGACTTGAACAATTCCATTATCGATCACCACCTAAAAAAAGATTTACAATTGTTATACATATGCGTGAAAAATAATCGGTTTTTTAAAAAAAGAAAAGAAATTTAAGAATTCATAATTACAAAATTAGACTCTTCATGCAGTATGACTCCAGAGGAAAAGTTGCTGCTCAAAATTTTCCTACAAAGAGAGAAAATGTTAACTCTAAAGAAAAATCTAATTAAGATATGTAAAATAATTTTTTAATTGAAATAAGCAAATTCCTACCTGTGAGAAAAATTGAGTGGAGAACAAAAACTCACTTGCATTACATTTAGTAACCATATGCAAGCAAATATTTCCAAGTGCATGCAAATAGAATAAAATTTCTTCATATTCATGTGTTAACCCTTTGTTCGGAAAGGAGGATTATTTTGGAAGAATGAAAATATGTGAAGGGAAAATCAATGGGAAGGATTATCCCTTCCTTTAATATTGAAGGAAGTGCAGAAAATATCAAAGGAAGAAAGATCTGCACTTCCTTCAATATTTTCTTTCCTCTCCTTCCCAAACAAAGCCTATGAATATTAAAGAGAACTACAATAAAATGAGATAATCTTTACAGTATTTATAATTAATGAATAACCAATTATAGGGTAATAACCAACGCAAATTGAGAAAATTATGGTAATAATGTGTACCACAAATTTAAAATTATAAAATTATTAATTTAGGTATTTGGTTTCATAACCAAGAGAGGATTAGCAAATGCATTCTTTAGCTTTCTAATTATGGTTGGATTTACAACTAATCTTTCCATAAAAAAATGGCTTAGATTAGGAATGTAACAAGCTTAATGATAGGTAAAAATCTATTAAAAATATTCAACAATAATTAGGTCTTATTCAAGTTAAATTAATCTTATGTGATAAAATCATTTGAAATTGTGCGATAAAATCAGGTGAAATGAATCTCAAAAACATGATCGGTCCGACGGTTCAACTACAGACCGGACTACGGTTGGATAATAAAATCGATAGCTTTAACGCAGGTGTAAACCGGTGAAAATCTGATGAAAATCGGTGAACCAAGTCGGCACTTAGTGCGGTTCGATTCAAATTCTAGGTTTTGTCTCAAAATATGGGCCTCTTAAAATTCGCCCTACTGTTTTTTAGCCATTGAGCCTCTTTATTTCTAAACCCAAAGTCTTAATTTGTTAACCAAAATAACTAGAGTGCCCAACTTTAAAGTCCAATTGAAAAATAATATTAACTTTGTGGTCACGAAATTCTCTTTTGAAACAAGAGAATGCTAATAATGTTTTAAGATCCGTTTAGTTCTTTTAGTTCTTGAGATTAGGTTTTCCTTCGTAATCAACTACTGAGTTTATGATATGTTATTGTTATAAGTGTTTGGTCAAAGATTTATTTATTTCAGATTTTTTTTTTCCTTTTTCCTTTGTGTACGCCAGAATTAAGAATTATGATGTTTTATTATGATATTATCGATTAAACCCATTCTCTTCACACCTTTTTTATGTAACTAATAAATTCAATAACAAAATGATAAATTTGATACAACATAGTTTTTTTAAAAAAAAAAAAAAAAATAGAAGATTGAGTATAAATTATTTAGAAGATTGAGTATAAATTATTTAAAAACTTTTGACATTTTACATCGTTGGTCTTATATTGAGAGCCTAGACAATGGTATGAAAAAATATATATACATTTTGTTAGTGTTAGGAAATATTTTGAACATAGTATAAAATTTTTCTTTTTTCATCTTTCTAAATTTGAGCTCATTTTTTTTGCCTAATTAATTTCTTCAATTTCCACGAGCCTACCACAATTCAAGGCCCAATGAAAAACTAGCCGTGTTCCCGCGCTTCGCGTGCGGATGTTATATAATGTTTAAAAATAAAAATTTGATGTTTATTATAACAAATATTTATTTTCAAGAATCGAAATATTCAATATATTATACTTACTAATACCAAAACATAAAATGAAAATTAATTTTTAGCTCACATTCTCGCAAAACGATCAATACATTAACATATACGTATGTATTTCAAGTTTATAATGAAGCTTAAAATTCTTAATTTCTAGAAACATTTTAATAGATTGTAAAATAATCTTTATAAATTGTTTGAATTCATTTTAAATAAATAATCTAAAATCTCACTATATTCATTTTAAATAAATAATCTAAAATCTCACTATAAATCCAACAAATATTAAAATTTTTTTAAAAAAATTTCCTCAAAGTTTTCCTTCATTTGGAATAGGTTGAGATGTACTGTCATCTCTCCCAGCAAACAAAACATAAACGTCAATTCTGTCATAAAATATTTCTCTATCACACATAATTACATTAGAAAACGAATTTTAATCTAATAGTTATAGAATAATTTATAAACAACATAATCAGGCCTTAGTCGATTATCGAAAACTGGATACACTCCATAATTCCGTCTTCAAACCATATGGATCAAGCTCACATCAATAAAATGCCATGAAAATAGTATTGCATTCTTTGCAAAGAATCTATTTCTTTTTGTTGAAAGTATCATTTGATTGTATTTATAATTTCATTTATATTAAAATAGGCATCCATACAAAGTCCGTTACAGCGAAGAAATGAAAATGAAGAAAATAAATATTAATGATATTGTTAATTATTTAAAAAAAGAAAGTGAAAAGTTTTTAAAATATTAATGATATTATTAATTTTATTAATTTTTTAAATCCAAAGATATTAGATATTAATTAGTTGTCTATTTAATTATAATACAATAATTTTTAAAAATGAAAATTATTTTTCAACTCAATATTATTAACATTTACCACGGTTGTAAAGGACCATTTATCGGATTGTGTATCTTGTAACAGATTGTAACAAACTCCCTTTAGAATAGGTTAGTTATAACTTCTTTTGTGTATTATATGTAACTATTTTTGCTGCGAATTAAAATAATGAGAAGGAGTCTATCATTCTGCTTCCTAATTCAAATTATTGTTTATACTTTATGTATACTTTCTACCGGTTTCTTTAATTCTCTTCATGGTATCAGAGCATAAACAAAGCTCACTACGATGATGTCTCCCGACGATTTAGCGAAGATTCTCGCTGCGATTAACACCAAAAATAATGCGGACGATCCGTATCATGTAAACCATTCCGAAGCTCCTGGGTTCAGCCTTGTTAACACGCCTCTGACGGGACAAAATTATCTTTCCTGGAGTCGATCCGTTCAAATCGCTCTTCGAGCAAAGAAGAAACTCGGATTTATCAACGACAAAATCAAATCGCCGTCACCGGAATCTGATGATTATGACAGATGGTTGACAGCAGACAGCATCGCCGTCACCGGAATCTGATGATTATGACAGATGGTTGACAGCAGACAGCATGGTAGTCTCCTGGTTGTTGAACGCTATATCCAAAGACATCTCTAATGCGTTTGTATTCTGTAAGAATGCAAAGGCTCTTTGGGACGAATTAAAACAGCGTTATGGAGAGAGTAATGGGCCGATGATTTACCAAATTGAACGAGAAATCGCTGGTTACAAACAAGGTAATACTTCTG